GCCGGGCTCCAGTGTTTAATGCATAAGTCTGTTTATGATCCAACAGTCAATCAGTCAACACTTGGAGCCATGCGGTGTCTTCTCTCTCGCCTCATCCCACATGCTGTAAGTGAGTGATTAATGTGGCTGCCTTGAGTAGGAGACAGCGCATGTAATCAAGCCCCAGCCTATAATCACCTTCTATCTTCCTTTTCATTTGCAATTTCACAGAGGGACAGAGCTGCCACCAGAGCTGCGAGCTCCAGTACTCAGGGAGAGAGGATGCTGGGTATGAGGGAGACTGATAGAAAGGGCTGCTGTGCCATAAGAGTCCCCCGAGGTTTCCGACTGCAGTGCCGACAAAGACTCATCCCCGGCAGTTGCCTGAGGGCCAAACTGTCGACTATCCACAAATTGTGGGTCACTGTGCCCGACAAACGCCCCTCCTCCAACCCCACCCCCACAGAACGCTATGTTTCTAGACATGCAGGGCCATACCATAACGTGTGTGTGTGTGTGTGTGTGTGTACCCTTTTATGCCTCATTAATTTATAGTGTGGATTTTCACATGAGGGAATTAGATGGGACACGTTCCTCAGTGAGCCAAGATGTGCTCCACATCTCCAAGCTGCTTAATTGGACAGAGAAAGCATTTTCTCCAGAGCTGCTGCTGGATCTCAGAGGGCCGCTTGTCTTCAGCTCCTACTTGCACGTTTGCTAAACAAATATGTAATCCTGTCAACACATGAGATTTTCATTCTTGGGTTTTTAGCAGACGTAGCAAGATAGTGGTAAACTGGGATTATGGTGTTTAAAACATTACATTCCCTCAACAGTTTGCTTTGTTGGCACACACTGATTAACATGATCTGCCAGAAAACAACACACGTTTATAACAAGTGACACACACAACATATGCAGTATTCTGAAAAGACTCCTGAAATGCAGTAAAAGCTCTTACGGAATGCGAACGTGTGCACGTGCTCACATTAATTGCGCTATTTTTTTCACGTGTAGCTCTGACCCCTGAACTCTGCAGCACAATGGAAGTCATATTCACTGGTAGATACTGCTCCTGGAAACATGAAGACGTGTGCTATGTCAGTTCAAGATGATTCACACACATTAAGAGTCCATTTTTACAGTGCTTTACACACAAAGATAATCTGCCAATTTTTATACCCATGTCTTGAGCTTTTTAAGACAAGACAGAGTGTTCTGTTTGGGAACAAAGGTGGAACGGTTGCAACTCGAGCTGTTTTCAAACATAAACTCTGGAAAATGTCCAGACTTTCTTACTGGAGTTTGCCTTTCACTCACTGTTTTCTCACATCTGCTCTTTTGGATATCATCCTGAGATCTTTCTCCAGAGAAAGTAACCTGATTTAATGGGAAGTTATAAACTGCTCTATTAAGTTCCTTCACTTTCAATTCATCTTACTCTTTAATTAGACATCAACGTTTTTAAAATTTGTGCTTTTATACAATTTCTATTTTTTTTACCATTTTAAATGTTCTCATGCCTTTTTTTTTATTTCTGTAAAGCTCATTGAATGACTTCTCTGTATAGTAATTAGCTATAAAAATGAATTTGCCTTGCATTGCTTGATGTAGTTAAAGTGACTTTGGTCCATGTTTAAAAACATCAGATAAAAGTCTAGACTTCAACCTGTGGTCACAGTTAAATAGCTACTTGTTTACAATGGAAGATGTTTGCAGTCTTCTCCGTCTTAAGTCTCGACTCAATTAGTTCCACAGCAGGAAAGTTTCTATCATGTCGGGAACAAATGAACCCTGGAGAGAGGCCAAAACACATCTGGACCGACTGTAATGTGTGAGGCTGAAATACTCAATTCATTTTGGGTTATCTAAGCGGGGTGACAACACACAAGGCTGCATTCCCCCACTTATTGTTATTCAAATCAGAGGAGACGACACAGAATAAGAGAAAGGGCTCTTGGGATCTCAGCACAGACACAGAGACATGCACAAAAAAAACACGAACTCAAACACACGGATACTTGTGCAAGTGGCAAAAATTCCCTCATTGCCTCACTCTTTTATACACAACAAGTAAACACACACCGCACACAGAGGGTCCTCAGGGGGACCCACTCTGGGCTGGTTTAACACTGCTACACAATAGGCAGAGAGGGCAGGGCAGGAAAAAGGAGGTGGGACATGAATAAATCATGCCTTTAGGCCACACAGGACACAGCATAAGCACACAAACACCCAAATAACACAACAAAGATACACAACCGCATCAAACAAATCAAAAGGCATGAATAGTATGCCAGTCCTAATCCACACACAAGGTGTTTTTTCTCTCTTTCTCACACACACACATACACAGATGGAGAAAAAGTGGGACTCCACCGTGCCAATAGGATGGGGGAAATGAATCTGTCTTGCGATTAGTGGAAGCAAAAGTGTGTCAAAGCTACACACACATAGAAACACACATATTCATGAACGTCAGAGTCAGGCAGACGGGGGAAAGGTAATGCACAATGAAGTCATCATGTCTCACACTGTAATCAGGAGCATTATGGCTCCTGTAATTACCTCTAAACATCCATTTGGCTAATAACTTGAGCCCTCTGTGCCATATAAGGGAGAGCCGTAGAAACCATCCCTCATCACTCACAGAGTCAGTAGAGGTCCCAAGTTGAACTGTGACGCTGTCAAAACTCAGAATACATCTATACTACTACGTGTTCAAACTAAAAAGACCCCCTGTCCACGCAAATGTTTTGGCTCCATATCAGTTTTAATCCTTGTCCATGCTGACATGTCTGAAAATGCATACCACGTGACCACACACACACTGGACATGTGCGTTGCTGTTAGCAAAGGTCAGCAGGGCCAGCTGAGTTTAATGCTGGTTGTTTTATTCTGAAAGGAGATCATGTAATAGAAGTCTTAAGAATTCACAAAGGCTAAGTTGTGACCAAAAAGACCAAATCAGCAAGCGGGTGCAAGTGTCAACGTCACAGTTTCCAAACAACTCAGTTTCTGCCCGTCCAGACCAGAACACAGCTCCAGAGACCAGAATTTAAAAAGGGGCCAGCGGTGATTCCAAACTTCTGCGTTTTCTAAAACTCAGGAGTACTGTGGACGCCAGGTGTATCAATAGCAGAGTTGATGCATTCTCAAATAAAAACATATAGAGATGAAGTCTCAGCCACAGGCCTCTCTTTTCAATACAGCACTCTGCTACATTCAATCTCACTAGCATGAGTCCTTGTTGAGAAAAACATACAATCAATGGTGGTGCAAAATCATTTCATGCGTTCTTTTGATCTGAAAAGCTAACCTTTGCAAATCAAACCGAGAGAGCAAAGTCAACAAAATGTTACGGTGAGTAGATCCATGTGTGTCCGTTCAAAAACACTTTATTTGGCAGCTACAGCAGTTTCTCCAGTTGAGTTCATTGAATCCAGTCAGCGTGCTGCGCTTTATGGCCAACTACTCTTCAGCACAAACTCAGTACCTCAGCTTAGTGAGTGAGCTGTGAAGCCTCGGATTGGATTTGCAGCTTGTCTTCTAATTTAATGCCACACATATTCCTGTCAAGGTAGACAAGCCCTGACTGACAGCTTGTGCACAAGCCAGTCTGGTCACTTTACACAAACATACTGGACTAATAAAAAAGCAACAACCACCTAATTATTATCATATACACATATATACACAACAACAAGGAGGAGGAAGTAGAAATTAATTTGAATGACCTCAATCCTTCAAGGAAGAAATGAAGAATGTTTTGGGGAATTATTATTACTATTATTTAAGTTCAACACTCTTTCGGTTTAAACTAATTTACCCAAGTACTACTAATACAGGAGTAAAGTGCTCTTTGCACTGTTAACCACACAAGCCCCCTCACAAACTGCACCACCACTAAGCTCATCTTGTCGTGACAGGAAGGGGGTTGCAACTCTTTCTAACCAGCCCCATGCAATTAGCATTGACTGAAAGGTAAAGTATTCCCCAGGGACACAGCTGCTCCTGACTTTAGTCCAAACACGAGTAGTTCAGGTTGCGTGCTACAGATTATTGTACTATGATGTAGTGTCATGTGGTTGCATCACATGCAGTAAATACTCACATGCACAGATATATTTTGCACACATTTAATCTGTGTTCCTGATGTCTCCTCATTTGACTTATGATTACTTTCCACACTGTTGACTCCGGCTCAGTCACTCTGTCTGTGTCTGTGTGTGTGTCTCTGTGTGTGTGTCTCTGTGTGTGTGTGTTTGTGTGTGTGTGTGTGTTTGTGTGTGTGTGTGTGTGTGTGTGCGCCTCTCCTCCCTCCCTCCCTCCTGTTCCCAGCGTCACTCACTGACCTAACAAAGCCTCTCCACAGTCTCCAGCCTGACCCAATAACCTGCATGCCTCCTATCTGCTGGAGACGAGCAGCTCTAAGCTCTCATCTGAGCCGCTGCGAGGGGCAGCAGTGTGGTGGCACATGTGAGTGAACAGCAGCTTTGTGTGATGAACAAAAGCTTCTTTGCAGTTGCTGAATTTGTGAAATTATTTGGCACAAACCTTTATTTTAGAAATGCATGCACTTAAGATTGGCACGTTGGCCTCCTACATATCAAACTTAATCATTCAAAACCCTTACTGAGCATAAATCAGTGGCGGATCCAGGGATGGGGTCAGGGGGCACTGAATTCTGATATCCTGTAGTGTCATGGCCTGTCAGTAGTCTTCAAAAAAACAAAAACAAACTACTAACAAATAATATGACAAATTACTTTTTTGAAGAACACAATGTCCTTGAACAATTTTCAAAATATATTCAATCACATGTGACTTTGCTCAAAGCTATAGAGCCCACAGTAAACAAGGAATTGACTCTGATGTGTACCTTTATGGATCAGGAATTGGGAATGGATGATTGGCCCCTCTGTGTAAATTGTGGCCCCCGATTTAGAGAAATCCTAGATCCGCCACTGGCATACATAATAATAATAATAATAATCGTAACATATGAAAATGAAACTTACCCCTTGGTTTCCTTTGAAACAAATTGATGGCTGATTTGGCAAAGTTCCCTGACAGGAATAAAAGAAGCAGACAAACAAACAATGATCAAGTAATGTGATTAGGTTTCATTTAATGTCACAGAACAGGTAATACCTGTTTAGTGTTAATGGTCTCAGCTCATTATGAGACACTAACAAGGACGTCAGTCAAACTTCAGTGTGAAGGGTTCCCAGCAGACAGCTGAGTGTTTCCCGACAGGCACCGGGCACAGTCTGTCCCTCTCACAGTCACGTAGCCTCACTCGTTCAGCAGGTAAACACACTCTGAAGTGAACTAGTGTTGAACTAGTCACAACACACGGACTAGCGACCAGACAGTGAAACAACGATGGAGGAGGAAAGAAGCCACTCTTGTCAAAGTTGTCTCCTGGTGAACCCTCGTCCTCACACACACAAACAGGAATATTTCAAGGTACCTTGAGGTTCTGATACGCCTCCAGTGCTCTCAGAGCCGTGTCCGTGAGCTTGACATGGAGCAGCGTCCTGCCGGAGCCGCTCCGGCCGCTTTTCCCGCAGCAGAGCCCGTAGAGCTGCTCCTGCCTGAGTGAAGCCATCTCCGGCTTTTCTGAGACACTCGAGCCAGAGCTGCTCCACTGTCCGCTGCCCTGACGTCACGCCGCGAGGGCGGGGCCACGGCGACAACAGCACCAGTGGCTTGTGTGTGCGTGCGTGCGCGTGCGTGCGAGACTAGAATAAACTCTCATCAGTTAACAAGCTATAAAACTACTTTCTATGTTTTTTTTTACTCACATCTGCATGTTTGTTTTATTTATCTGGGACAGAGTGTCTCAAAATTACAAGATAGCAGATTTGCTGGGGACCCTCTCATGTATGTCCTTTGGAAAAATCTACTTGACTTCACAGAAAGTCCTACGTGAGATCACAAAAAAACCTGAAAGAAAACTAAAATGTCTTTACACGTAACATCCTGGCTGCACCACCCTTTGCATGAATTCTCTGGTGGATTTGTTGCCGTTGTGAACGCTACTGATCGGAGAATCTCCTTCTGTGTTTCTCTCGTGTGAACGGAAACCTCAGGAGAAAGTCAGGACCCAATTCTCTGGAGTTCCTCTGGGAATTCATGTCTGAAAACAGCCTAGAAACATATTGGACATGTTTTAAATATATCTTCACCATATAAACACTGAATACCCATAGATTATCCCCATTTCAGGTAGCTACTAGAGTTGCTTTCAAACATGCACTGAACTCCAGACATTTATCTTAAATAATCCAGAGGGGCTGGATGAGAGAACGCATCCAAGACAGTTGCTTTGGACATTGATAACAGAATGTCTGGAAAATGTCGGAGTGAGCTAATGTGAGAAAATGTTCAGAAGATTCACAGCAATTAAGTGACGAACACAAAACTGAAGAAAACCAAAACTAACAAGAATACAAATATCTCAGGATAACAAATCTGCCGCTCGCCAAAGACACTTTCAACATTATTACAGGCTCGCAACTGTTTTGGTTGATCTCATCAATCTCATTAACGATACAGCTCTGTAAGTCAACTGTACGCTACCTGCCATTAAAACACTGACACACAAAGTTAAAGAGGGTAAGAACAGTGAGGCATTTAGCAGCCAAGGAGCCTGGGATTTTCAAAACAAAGCTAAAAGTTAACAGTATTTTGAATTTAAATTTGCCAGGTGGAGAGAAATGTGAGTGTGAGTAGCTCAATGTGTAAATAACCAACTGTTAGCAAACACAATCTATGACCCTATCACATATGTCAGTGTTGGTTTAACAGCTTGTTCTTCCGGCCCCGTGTCACCAAAATAACTGAATAGTGATTTACATGAGAAAACATCGAACCCAATATCCAGGCCGTGCACAGTATTTAAGCTACGGAAAAATTACAAGCTTGCTTAGGGATGTTATTGAGACTAAAACATTTCAGAACTTTACCCTAAACACCCTCTTTGTAAATGTCAATTACAAAACAGTTTGTCATTTTCAGCCATTGCAGCCTGTAATATGAACTCATCCACATCATGTAGCATTTGATGACTGAGCGGTCTTTATGTAATGATGTGTGGCAGAATCTCCCAGTGCAAACCTTGAAAAGGGTTATATCACAGCTCTGATGCATGTCAATAAAAATATGGTGAAAAGTGTGTCACCACAATGCCTCCGTTGTGATCATAAGCTGGCAATCAAAAAGGCCAGGCAGGACGAAACAAGCCGATCCACATTTTTTGATGAATAGCATTGCATGTTAAATGTGTCATCCATAATGAATGTGTCAGTGGGCCTGTTTAATGATACAACCAACGCATAACCTGACAATTATCTGGCAATTAAACAAGACTAGGGAAGAAAAGCTTTGATAATCTGTGAATGAGATAATTAGGTTAAGGTCTTAGTAGCAGGAAAACTTTGCTGATGTAAATGTTGTTTCAATACACTGTAGACAGGCTTAACATACAGAATCTAATTTATTTACATCGCAAATAGAAAGCCTGCAGTTAGAGTAGCGACAATATAGCCAGGTATATATTCCAAGACATCGAATGCATAAGAATACATTTCACAGAGTTCAATTAAATCAAATAATATTTAACAAGGAATGAGATAAAAGAAAAAACATTTTGTGTTAATTTTTTGTGTTTTCTCTGCAGAGAATGGGATGCCATCATAGACTGTGTATGCTAATGAAATATTTATGCTTTGGCTTTTCTATAATGTGTGAGTTACAGCCAAAGAACACACTGTCTGTAAAAGTACTATAAATACAGGCCTTTGGGAAAAGAAAAAACACTTATCAATACACAAAGTTAAATGTAAGGCAGTCGTCAGCAGTGTGTCCTCACACCAGGAGGGTTCACAGTACGAATGCTGGTGGAGTTTGTTATGTCATGCTCTCCCTCTGCCTGCGTGGGTTTTCCCTGGGGAACTCAAGGTTTCCTCTGACAGTCCACAGACATGCAGGCCAGGTTAACTGCCCTTAACTGTAAATGTGAGCGTGCATGTCTCTATATGTCAGTATTGTGGTGAAATACTCCTTTTATGTATTCCATGTTTTTCCCAATGTCAGTGGCATTGCGCTTTAGCCTTTGTGACCAAAAAGAAAAAGGATGAATGGATGGATGGTTAAATTTGATCATTCCTATAGAAAATCCAAATAGAGGTATCATTGTGTAAAAACAAAATTGTTCACATTGTGAATATAGTGATCACTAAAAGTAAAAAGTTGGACACTTTTACGTTTATTATAGCATTACAATCTAAGATGTACAATCTGAATGCATAGTGTTGTATGAACTGCCGATGAAAAATTACCCAGACACTTAAAAAC